AAAAATTATTTAAAGGCTATCCTAAACAAAACAAATTTCTAAAGGCAAGTCTACCATCCTTAAAAATCACATGCCTTCAAATACCACATGTTGGAGTTAATCTGTGGTGTCGAAGGCTGCATTGCTTTGGATAATTAAAAGATGCACTCATTTCATCTGTGGGCTTTTTAAGATTTACCATTTAAAACAACCCAACTAAACATGTGACTTTCAGATGAGTAAATTCTATTGAAGAAGGATTTAATATGAACCTTTGATATTCAGAACCTCTTCTTCAATAATGGAAGTCTTCAGGGTATCAATTGTGCTAAAATGTTCTACAATATTAGTAAATAGAAGTTGTTTTGTTCAAAATGAGAGGATAAAACTTCTAAATATTTGAATGCTAATACTCTCACTTGTATTAAGTTGCTTAAATTGGAGTTTGTAGAAATTCAGGTTGCAAATGAACTTAGAAAAGGTGAAATGAACAGAACAAGAGAGGTTACCAGATAATATTGATGCCTCACACCTATTGTGTGTTAGCTGCTGTGCTTCAGACCCAAAGACACAAACAGCATGTCTGTCTGCATTCTCCTCCAGGGAGAGATTTTTCCTTCCCTTTTGTGCTTGCTTCACTCTTGAATGCAGCACCTTCTTGCATTTAAACCAGCAGAAAGGAAAATGATAAATCTAGAAGTTATTTACTAAGAACTTAGTATATGTTAAGGAAACTGCATTATCATGGTTCTTGTTAAATTTCCACCATGTGCTAGGTGCCAACAATACATAAAATAGTATCATTCCCTCTTATATCTTCGTTATGTATATATAAATGTCATTGTGAATCCACTGGACAAAGATGAGATTTCATTTTTCTTTCAGTGACTAATATGTTGCTGATGCCTAATAAGTTTTTACCAATCCTAACTACTGTAATAAGATAAAATTGTCTTAATACAACTCTTTGGTTATAAAGAAATTCTATAAATTTAACACAAAAGTCTTGATACGTACCAAATTCAAACTATTCCCGGTAATAAGAGCAGACAGAAGGTTAAATCTCACTCCAGAAATTTACTTCGCCCTTAGCAATAACATGCAACTCAGGAAGTTACTTCTCTTACAAAGAACTAGCATTTATGCCTAAGACTAAAATGATTATTTTTGAAGTACCCATTTTACAATGCAAATGTGTATCTAAATTAAACTCAGTAAAAATAAGCATTTTAAATTGAAGCTGCAGTAATAGCTTTATGGGAGACAATAGGAAAAGTGGTTCTTGAATATGAACTCAGAGAACACACATTTCACATACCTTCTAGGGGCCTGGAAGCTTTCTTTGTTCTCTGTCTCTGTACATAAATGCATTGTCACATGGTTTAACTGAAAACCCATTGCTCTGAAGTCACTTTATACAACTGAGGCTGCTCAGCAAGGTCATGGCAAAAAAAAAAAAAAAAAAAAAATTGGGGTTGAAAAAAAGAAACCGGACTCACAACTGGTCTGCAACGCCATGCCGCACCTTAGCACTTGGGATATGGGACAGATGCAGGAACACAGGCTCACTAAAACAGACGGGGACAAGAGACTGCGTGACACAGACACATGCACAATAGGGCATTTTAGACAGAGACAAATGACAGAGTAGAGCAATATATGGGACAAGAGCTTTACAGGGCCGGGAGGGCTGTGAAGAATGGTGAGAAAATGGTGACAGTACAGAAGAAGGAAAATGGAAGAGGGGGAAGGAGAAGGAAAGATCCCAGTGGGAAGTGATCTACGGTAGAGGCCATGGTGGTGGCGATGGTGTTGGCAGAGTTGGTGGTGGCAGCAGCAAGGTAAATAAAGCAGAGATGTGAATACTTCTTCCTGGCTCTGCTGATGTATGGCACTATTTTTTGTCTTGCAAATTATTCTTAAATAATACTTCATGAAATAGCTGGCCCCAAAGTAAAGAAGACTAGAATATACTCAGTTGATTTTGCCAAGAGATCACTTGATAAAAGAATAAAGAATTTTTAAAAAATAATGTAGGCTATACTCAGCATTTAACTCTTTCCAGACATGAGGTTGCTACAATCAAGGCAAGGGGTGTGTGTGTGTGTGGTGTGTGTGTGTGTACTCACATGCACACTCATATACCTAAGTCACTAGTTTGGCTGGTTTTTCTGGTAAGATTGGCTTAATATGAACTAGATTTTTCTTAATAGAGATAACAATTTCATAGCACATTCATTGCGTAGTTTTAGGTTGACCTTATAGGGAAATTGTAGGTATGTGTTGACATTTCATTGAGTAATTTGAATTATATGTTAACCTAACTAATCACATTTCAGAAATAAATTCATTCCTTTAACAGCCACTGAATCCCTATCATGCATCAGGCCTGGTTGGAATTACATCAGCCTCTGTACAAAACATCTGGCCTGGCTCATCACCAGATGCATGAACTAGCATTGGAAGGAAGCACTCTTGAACTACTTTGATAAAGTGAACCAGGAAAATTCCCATTGTCAAAGATACCCACTCTGTTTTTTGTTTGTTTGTTTTTTTGTTTTTGTTTTTTGAAAAGGAGTCTTGCTCAGTTGCCCAGGCTGCAGTGCCCTGGCCCAATCTCGGCTCACTGCAAGCTCCGCCTCCCTGGTTCACGTCATTCTCCTGCCTGAGCCTCCCGAGTAGCTGGGACTACAGGCGCCCGCCACCACGGCCGGCTAATTTGTTTGTATTTTTTTAGTAGAGATGGGGTTTCACTGTGTTAGCCAGGATGGTCTCGATCGCCTGACCTCATGATCTGCCTGCCTCGGCCTCCCAAACTGCTGGGATGGTAGGCGTGAGCCACCACACCCGGCCTCTGTTTTTTGTTTCCTGTCTTCCTTGGTGGGATGTAAGCTCCCTCAGGATGGGGACTCTTTCTATGATAATATCCTTAGCACCTAGAATGGTGCTTGGCACATAATAAGCATTCAAGAAATATTCTAGGAAGGGAGGGAGGGAGGGAGAGAACAGAAGGAAGGAAGGGAAAGGGCAGAAGAGAAGGAAAAGAGAAGGGAAGGAGGGGAGAAGGGAAGGGAGATAGTGAAAAGAAATAACTTACACCTTTGTTTTTTCCAAGGCTAGCGGGAATAGCAATGCTTTACATGTTGAATTGCTCCCTTTAAACTTGGGATGAAGGAGAGCTTATTATGTAGACTACCAGAAAAGCATATATTTACTTTTTTGGGGTGCACTCTGACCCAACCTAGAAATATCCCCAGATGGATATGGTAGAGCCTTTACTCCTGGGAGAAGCATAGCAATTCTTTAGGATATAGAAGAGGTTTTTCATCCTTGAGGCATTTTAGAGGTGAGTTATTCCTCAAACATCGCGTATAGGCATAAGATGTGTTGTTATTTTCATTACTTGGAGGAGAATGTTGAAATGGAATGGCTAAGTGACTTGTCCAAGTCCCCAAATTAAGATTGGTGAGTTGCAGAACTAGTTCATCAACAATTCACTAAGTCATTTTTCTTCAGATATTTAGGCCACTCTAAAATCAAAAGAAAAAACTCTATTGTTTTTAAACAAATTAGAATCTGCCATGCTTTGAAAACACACAGTCATTTGGGTGTTTATCCTTGAGGATACATCCATGATCTCCATTGAACCACATAAACAAGCTAAAAATATAATGAAAGGAATTATTCCTGACTTTTCAAGTGCAGCCTCAACTACAGACATATGCTATTGGTGGATATAAATGAAGATACCTCCAAGCAAGAAATGTTTTCCCTTTCTGTAGGTCCTATTAAGACAGTAGGGTCCTAATAGCAGTACATTTGGTGCAGAGGAATCGATAAAATTATATATTTGGGTGCATCCGGTGACTATGAGAGATAAAAGATTATATTTTCATTTGCATGGTTTGCTGGGTTTTATTTGGCAGATATAATAACACAGGCTATGCAGAACCCATAAAACAAAGTGAGAACAGCAGCTCACTTGGTGGCAGAATGTAATGGTTGTAGCTAAGGGGCTTACATAATTCATCTCAAACCCTTATGCCTATATTTATTGTTGTTTAAATGAAAATTAAACTCTTACGGCCATAAGGAGGGATCTGGTCAGACATTTGATTGAGATCCCTTCTTCTTACATAGCTTCTGAGATGATCAGTCTGTGACATTTACAAACAGCTACAGAAATATTCTAGAATGAACATACTTTACCTAAGCACGCTAGGATGTCATTCTTCAAATCCTGCTTTCCTAAACAATTCTAAAACTCCCACAGAATGAGAGTGAGTGGAGAGAGAGGCCCCGTTTGTTATTCTGCCTTGGAATTTCTAGTTCAACTCAGGGCAGTTGTAAGCTATGGTTAAGAGTTAATGTTTAGTATCAGATAACATTTGATATAATACTTTAGCAGGAGGTGGGGGCTAGAGGAACAATACAAAGGAGTGACTGAGGCTTGTGATATTGGCCCAGACCATTTCACACAAGTATAATGTCTTTTAGTATTATTTAAAGTATTTGTATTATATCAGATTGCTAAAAGAATATTTTTAAGGACATGATTTTTTTTATCACTTTATTCTTATGTTAAAAGACTGGAAATTTTGACTCTCAATTGTGTATACTCTAGACTATGGATTTTGCTTTTTGGGGGGAGGAATTTTTTGTTTTAGAGAATCAGACTTGAAATATAGTTTGTTAAAGAGAAATCTGTACTGTATTATTAAACGCACATCTGGATAAGGTTTTAAAATATCAATGATTATCACATCAATTTAGAGAAAATGGAATGATGTAGCTTAAAACAGTTGTGTAAAATATCATTGCATTTTCATTTTCTGCAGATCTCATGGAGGTAACTAACGGATATAATATTAATATATAAACATATAATAGTTAAAATTAACATTAATGCTAGATACAAAAGTTTAGTATTATGGGGCTATTGGAATATTTGTCATTAAATTAGTCTTAAAAGCTATAAATTAACTCTTAATCATTTTAAAAAATGACCAGCATACCCTCTCTATAGTAGTTAAATAGGTATGAAAATAAATAAATACATATGCCCTAAATTTTATCCGCCATGAGCAAGTACACACGGGCTATTCTGGAAACTGGGTTATCTCTTTTGATTTTAGAACTTCTTCATTATTTTTAGGTAAATCAATATGGATATTAAAGTGATTAGCTCAAACTTGCCTTGAAAATTTTATGCCATTCAGGTTATTACTGTATACATACATGAACCAATTTTGGAAGGAAAGAGAAATACAACAAGAAAGTTATTTTAAACCATAATTCAATGCAAGTAAATAACTCATTTTCTAAATAATGAGATAATTGACAGAATTCATTCTGCTTTGGTAGTAAGCTCAAGCAGTTTGTGTGCATGAAAAAGAGAGAAAGAAACCGTGAGAAAGAGAGAGAGAGGAAGCAAAGCTTTAATTGAATATTCCTCAAGTTTAATAGGAATAAACTACAAGCAAAAAAAAAAAATCAAAGAACATTTAAAAACAAATAGAATACTGTATATTTTCACTTGAAACAAAAGTGTTCTTCTCGTATATTATAGTCTTGCATATTTATTCTGTTCAGGAAGATGTTTCTTTGCTAACTCATATTCATCTTTCAATCAGCTGGTTTGATGGCCTTCCAGAGGCTGCAGGGAAGATCTGACAAGTGGAAAGAAAATAAAGGCAAGTAAACCCTGATGAAGAGAATTTCAGAAAGAGAGAAAAGAAAAGATCCAAAGGGTTGGGGGGAAGAATGGAGGAAACCAAATAAAATTAGACAATGTTTTAGAAATAAAACAATTATACTAGTTTTCAGTTCATTTTCCCCCGCGCATATTTTTTTAATTGGAAATATGTTCTATTATTTTAACTTTTTAAAAAATCTGCCTTCACTAAACTAAAAGCAAGGGATCTAATATGTGGTAAAGATGAATATTCAGTGGCTAAAATCTTGATAGCCAGAGGAGGCTGTGCTACTGGCTCTCCCTCCATGAAGAAGTCTGTGGACTTCTGAAGCAAGAGAGTACCAAGAGAACAAATATTTGTTTTCTTTCAAAGACAATCCAGCATGAGGAAGCATCGCTTTCAGAATTGCATATTGTCTTATCAAGGCAACTAGATGGTAGTTTGGTCAGAGTGAATATCCAGCTTCTATTATGCTGAATGAGGGAATGGAATGATTTCTGTTTCACCCCCACCTTCAAGCCACGTACCTCCAAAGCTCACCTCCAGCCCAAATGTTTTTCTTTATGCTTTTTACTTTTGAGTTCTTAAAGCGTGTTGTTATTATTATTTATTTTTAGTGTTGCAATCTCCAGCAGTCCTTATTTTCACTCAAAATTACAATACAGGGGACTATGGCCAATGCTATGCAGATGGCCAAATAGATAATAAAGACTCAGTTCATGAATAATATCCACTCAGAAAGAGGACAAAAGCAACAGGAAAAAAGAGCCCAAATTGGACAAAATGTGCGTGCTATATTTAAAAAAAACACACGCGATCATTGTCAGAGATCATTAAGGGTGCCCTGTAGTTTTAATTATATGCCAGTGGCACCAATTTGATGTGACTGTTTGCTCTTATAGTCAATAAAAAAAGTCATAACTGCCATCAAATTTAAATTTAATTTATTTTCTACACAGCCTTTTCTGTTTTCCTTGTTTTTTTTTTTTTTTCTTTTATAACATGAACACTTTTTTGTTAAAAAATGTGTGAAAGATTAATTTGTAGAATGAGGGTGCACAGCACAGGACAGATGGAGCGGGTGGGACATGACAGTTTTCGTCTGTGGCATCATTTTGTTGTTGCTATTGCAAGTGAGCAAAATAAAGCTACTGCTACCGCGATCATTTCTTCTGGGGCCCCTCAGAGAAGGTGTGTGGCGTTTCCCTCGTGCTGGGCCCTGCTGTTTGGGGACGCAGCCACCCTCTACCCTCCACAGCCAGCCGACTTATGAACACTGTTCATAAGCCCAAGAGCACTCTAATTGTAAAATTGCATTTCTATAGAATCGTACCCGACTTTTGTATAAAGCAGAATGAAACACACTTTTCTTGGTAAGCTGACTCTGTTGAAATGAATTAATGATCTATTCTCTCTGAGATCCTGTAATGTAAACCCAAACGCATGAAACTCTAGATGCAGAAAATAATTAATGGTTTTTTTTTTTTTTTTTTTTTTTTTTTTGGCACAGGACAAATATTCTCACATTCAAGGGGATTTTTAAAAAAATTTATCAAAAACGACGACGTGCAAGTTTCAATTTTCTGCCTTGGAACAGCCCTAATTTACACATAAGTATTGTAGGAGTTTGCTATTGTAAAGGTTCTTATTGAAGAATAAAGCAATTACCACAGAAAATCACTGTCATATGGCACACACAGACATTCCGAGAAAAAGTAAAACTTTGAGAAGAAGGAAAAGGGGAATTCAGGACAGCATGTGGGAGGGAAGATGGGAGTTCTTTTTATGCACAAAGAGATCCATTAACAATATCTTTATCAGTTTCCTTCTTCCTTGTTAACTGAACCAACTTCCAGTGCCCAGAATATGCGAACGTGATTGCAAATAAATGACTGGGGTGGCAGGGGGATGAGTGAGTGCACATGAAAATGGCTGGTGGTTAATTCATGGGAAGACACGATTTGCCTGGGAAAGAAAAAAAAACCCGAAAAACCTTTGCCTCAAACTACTGCATCTTTCATAGTGAGGCAAGGTGGTCTGCAACAGTATGTCAGCAGCCACGAACCCCTACGATTCTTAATTCTTCTGCAGTCACGAGCCCGCCTCAGCCTGGAGATCAGTGGGTTCTTGTGGATAGGGTATTCGATATTCCAGTCATTTTATATGATCACGTTATTTTCCTAACCAGACTGCAGGCCTTCCCAGAGAGGGATTGTGTCTGAGCAGAGCACGCTGTACAAAGCGGTGCTCCCCAAATGTGTGTGGCTGGCAAAGCTTCTCTGTGGGGACCTTGGATACCGACCGTCAGGGGCCATGCTGATGATCTGAATCATGGCGTCGTGATTCGAATCGTGGGCTTTGGGGGCAGACCATCTGCAGTTGGCGTCAGGCTGCCCCTAGCTATGTAACTGTACTTTAACTTAGGCAAGGCTTAGTTTCCACTTCTGTAAAAACAGGAATGACGATGATAGCGTGCACTTTAATGATAGGGTTAGTGGGAGATTAAGAGATAGTCCTTTGTAAAGCATTTAGACAGTGTAAAATGTAAACCATGTAGGCCTAGTTTTCTAGAGGTCACTTTTTGGACGCTTCCAACACCTGATCGCTGAGGGTACTGAAAATCCTAAATCTTTAATTTGAAACATGCCTTATTCTGTTATATTAGGGGTGTGGTAGCATGGCCAAATACGATGTTGGAGTGTATCCGGACAGGTGGGTGGGGAATGAGAGAAGATGCAATTTTAAAACAAAATAATATAATATTACATGGGGGCGGGGCATTGTCCTTGATGTTGTAGAAAATAGGGAGGAAATTTGGTGTATATATTATGTGCCTGTGAAATAGAGTACACAGGAAACGTGATAAAGAACGGTATGTACCACACATCCAATGTAAAGACAGTTTATCTGTTTTATATTTATTCTACCAGGATGTCTCCACAATTCTATAAAGTAGTAGGCACTATAGAAATGGAAGGTATAGCAAGTTCTTGCCATTCACTCAAACACATGCACTGGCAGAAACAGACTCAGAATAGGGAATATCCGTCCCTAAATCCAATAGGATGAGCACAATACTTGCCGTGCTTACACTGAAACAGTAGCAGAGCGTGTTATACTGACACATGCATGTAATTACTTACGGCCATGAATCACTTAGTGACAGGTGTATGTGCTGAGAAATGCATCCTTAGGCGATTTTGTCGTCGTGTAAACATTATAGACTACACTCACACAGATCCAGATGCAATCGCCTACTACACACCTAGGCTATCAGGTGCAGCCTATTGCCCCTAGGTTGCAAATCTGTGCAGCATGTTACTACGCTGAATAGCGTAAGCAATTGTAACACAATGGTAAGTATCTGTGTATCTAAATAGTAAAAATAAGGTGTAAAAGATTTAAAATGGCACACCAGTATAGGATACGTACCATGAATGGAGCTTGCAGGACTGAAAGTTGCTCTGGGTGAGTCAGTGGGTGAGAATGGGTCAATGTGAAGGCCTGGAATGTTACTGGCCACTTCTGTAGACTTTCTATGAACACGGGACACTTAGGCCACACTAAATTTATTTAAAAATATTTTTTTCTTCACTAGTAATTAACCTTAGCTTACGGTCACTTTTTTACTTTGTAAACTTTTCATTTTTTTAAAATCTTTTTGTCTCTTTTGGGATAACACTTAGCTTAAAACACAAACGTATTTATTGTACAGCTGTACAAGAATATTGCTATCCATATTCTATGGGCTTTTTTTCTATTTTTAAAATTTATTTTTTACTTTTTACACTTTTTTTTGTGAAATGCTGAGACACAAAGACACACATTCACCTAGGTCTATGCAGGGTCAGGATCATCCATGTCACCATCTTCCACTGGAAGGTCTTCAGCGGGGGTAACACACGTGGAGCTGTCATCTCCTGTGATGATAGTGCCTTCTTCTGGAACACCTCCTGAAGGACTGGCCTGAGGCTGTTTTGCAGTTAACTTTTTTTTTTTTTTTTAATACGTAGAAGGCATACACTCTAAAATATAATAGTAAAAAGCATAGCGTAGTAAAAACATAAATCAATGACATCGTTGTTTAGTATCATTATCAAGTACTATTTATTGTACATAACTGCATGTGCTGTACTTTTATACAACTGATAGCACAGGTAGGTTTGTTCATACCAGTGTCACTGTAAATGTGTGTAATGCATTGTGCTATGATATTACAATGGCTATGTCACTAAGTGATAGGAACTTTTAAGCTCATAATCCTATGTGACCATCATATTTGCAGTTCATTGGTGACCAAAACACCATTATGTGGCCCATGACTGTATTTCTATGCATGCTGATACACAAAATGTAAAGTATCCTTATTTTTCTTTTGCCATCAGGTAGAGTTACGTTTATGCCCAAAACACTGGAAAATAGTTAGTTCACTGACTACAGAGGAATTCTGATGGGCTAAGACTAGGGTGAAAATGGCAAGCTATATATGTTACATATGTTAAAGTATAAACAAAGAAGTGTGCACATGAACACAGGTGTGTGTGTCTACAATTGTATTTTATATAAGCCGATTTTTCCCTCACAGTAAGAAGCTTGCAGTTATTAACTATAGCAAAGTCTTCTGGTCTCCTACCCCAATAGCTGTTCTCCCTTTCTTCTTTAGTGACAAAACTCTCAAATACATAACTGCCCCCAAGTAAAAACTACATTTCCCAGCTTTCTTTGCAGCTAGATAGCTCCCTATGACAAATTCTGGACAATGAAATGCACGTGGAAGTGTTCTGTGCAGTTTACAGGAAGCCTCCTTAAAAGACTGTGAACATGCCTTTTGACCCTTTCTTCTTGGTTACTTTCCACTGTCTGGAATATGGATGTGACGGTTGGAGCTTGGGCTGACTTGATGGACCACAAGGTTGAGAGCCACATTATAAGGAGGCTGGAGAGGAGAGTTGGAGGAAGCTTCTTAATTTAATGACTTTCTAAATTTACCATACCAGCCCAGGATTGCATCCTTCCCAACTTCATTTCTATAAGAGATAAATCAACATTGGTGGAGATATACATGGGTGCAGCCATTATGGAAAACTGTGTGGCGGAGGGTGAGGGGGGTTCCCTAAAAAAATGAAAATAACACTAACATATGATCCAGCACTCCTATTCCTGGGTATCCATCTAAAGGAAATGAAGTCCATATGTTGAAGAGATACCTGCACTCTCATGTTCATTGCAGCACTATTCACAATCGTCCGGGTATGGAATCAATCTAAGTGTCCATCAACAGATGAATAGATAAAGAAAACATGGTATGTGTCCAGCGGAATACTAGTCAACCTTTAAAAAGGACATCCTGTCATTTGTGACATAGATGAACCGAAAGGCTGTCATGCTAAGTGGAATTAGACAGACACAGAAAGACAGATACTGCATGATCTCACTTATACGTGGAATCTAAAAAGTTGAACTCATAGAAGTAGAGAACGGAATGGCAGTTACCAGGGGTGAGGAAAATGAGATGTTGATCAAAGGGCAGAAAGGTTTATTTCTGAGGATAGACAAGCCCAGTGTGTTCTCGTTGGGTGGGAGAAGAATGTGGGACCCTCCGTTCCATGCAGTTATTCAGAGACCAATCTTTTCCCATCTCGGCCATTGGAGACTCCAATCATCTTCCATATATGGCCTCCCAAGTCCCCACAGAATAGAAATAGGTATCACACAAGATTATATACAAGGAGATTTAACATGATCCATGCCTAGGGTGGCATTTGACACTTCTACCGACATGTTGTTGGCCAGAACTCTGTCGTATGGCCCAAAATTAACTGCAAGAGAGTCTGAGAAATTTAGTCTAGCTGTATTCCCAGAAAGAAGAAACAAGAGCATAGCCTTCTCTTACCTAGTAAATAAACAGAAAATATAGTTTCCAATATCCCCATTTTAAATTTATTTTCTAAAGGCCCACTTAACAAGGGCCACATGCTCAAGGATACAACTCACTATGTCACAAAATCATCTTCTTACGTCATCTTAATATTGAAGCATCTAAGACTCAAACATTTCTAATAATGGAAGATGAGCTCTCCAAAATGGTGTAGCTTTAATCTCAAGCCCTGGCCAGCTGCTGTTCTTCTTGTTCTTACTGCTGCCTTTCCTCCTTGTTTGTGTGTTTTTCCCATGATGAAGCGTAATTTTTGAACATCTATAGAAGACATTAAGAAAAGCTTCCATAGGGCTCTATATCCCAGCACTTTGGGAGGCCGAGGCAGGCAGATCACGAGGTCAGGATATCGAGACCATCCTAGTTAACACGGTGAAACCCCATTTCTACTAAAAATACAAAAAATTAACTGGGCGTCATGGCAGGCGCCTGTAGTCCTAGCTACTCGGGAGGCTGAGGCAGGAGAATGGTGTGAACCCAGGAGACGGAGCTTGCAGTGAACCGAGATCGTGCCACTGCACTCCAGCCTGGGCGACAGAGCAAGACTCCATCTCAAAAATAAATAAATAAATAAATAAAGCAGGGCATGGTGGTTCATGCTTATAATTTCTCTATTCAGGGTTTAGCATCATTGTCAAGTATTATTTGGGAGGCTGAGGCAGGAGGATCACTTGAGGCTACGAGTTTGAGACCAGCCTGGGCAACATCGCAAGACCCCATCTCTAAAAAAAAAATTTTTTTGAATTAATTAGCTGGGCATGGTGGTGCACACTTGAGGTCCCAGCTACTTGGGAGGCTGATACAGGAGGATCACTTGAGCCTGTGAGATAGAGGCTGCAGTGAGCAATGATTGTGCCCCTGCACTCCAGCCTGGGAGACAGAGCAAGACCCTGTCTCAAAAAAAAAAAATTCACTTAACTGGTAGTCTGTGAGCATATTGCTAGAGACAACAATGGATCATTGAGGCGATAGAGCTTTTTCATTTCCTTTTATACTACTGTTGTGTATTTTGTAGGCTATTGTTATTATAACCTACCTGATACTTGTGCAAAATAAGATTATTGAGGGTATTTTTTTAACAGGGTTAGACACTTCAAAAACAGACGGTCAGACAGACAGATATATAGATAGAATTCTATTTTCCTCCAAAAAATCAATCATGATGGTTTTATTGAACCAACATTTCCCACAAATTCTGGACAATTACCAAAGACAATCCATTTCAGGAAACATGATTGAGATAAAAATAATAGATGCAAAAGGAATAATGTTTAAAATTCCATTTCGGCTTAATAATGAGTTTGTGGCCTGCATCATAAGGCAAGTTATTATCCATCACATTTTATCATGAGACTCTTTCTTGCATTTTTATAAAAATTTTAGAGCCTCTATTTTCAGAACTGCCCAGAAGATGTTGTTACTGTTCACTGTTATTTCCTTTGATGGTTTGATTTTTGAAGTTCAGCTCTTTTTCAGAGTTTTGAGGCACATGATAGGCAGAAGGTAAATTTTAGCGGATTTGCCTATTTCCTAGGGGGAAAATGAAGCAAGATTTAACACTTTGGCTTGTTCACTGGAAATACAAAAATGAATTTAAAATTTTTCTATTAACTAAAATCTGAAGTATTGATGTTTATTTAGGGTACAAGATGAAATGGTACAAAAATGCTTTTCTAAAACCAGGAAACAATTTGAAGTTATAAATGAAAAGACTTTTGATTTGTTTTCTGTATGTTTCAAGAAAGCCCCATGTGGGGGTTGTTTGGGTTTGGGATTACTGGGGTCACATGTCTGACAGTCCTGCCACAGAGCAGGCACCGAAATAGTTTTTGAACCATGAATGTGAATGACCAGGACCCCACAGGCCTGAGAGAAGAAGATCACGAAGAGGGTGACTTGAGAGGCTGGAGGTGGTCCTCATTTCTGGTGAGGAATGAGAGGTTGCCTGAGAATGCCTAGCCCTGCAGCCCACAGGGAACCCTCGCATCTCTAAAGAGATGTAGAGGATAAAGTTCCTAACATGTAATGGTGTGATTATTCCCCTCGCGTCTACCATAAGGAAATCACCAACCATCTGCCAGAGGTTTGTGGCTTAGGGAAGGAGGAGGGATTGCTCAGCTGCCTGACCGTGGCTCTGAGCTGCAGGAAACCATCAGGAGTTCTACAGCCCTTCTGTGCCTTCCGGTGTGGAGGCAGAACTAGACTAATCCCCTCTTTCCCTCAAACCGTTCTCCGTGTATCCAGGCTTGTAGATCTGACCATGGGCCTCCATCACTAATTCACAACCTTTAAAGCTCATCAGAATCGCCTGGGGGTTTTTCCCACAATACTGGTACCAGGGTCCCACCTCAGACTTATTGAACCCAAATCTCCAAGGGTAGGGTCTTGGCGTGGGATCTGAGGATATGTGCCTTTTAAAGCCTCCCTGTTGAAGCCGTTACTCGTCAAAGATCAAGAAGCCCTGTCCTGGCTTATCTCTGCAGTTGAACGAAGCGTATTGTTACTTGAGGCTTTGAATGCAGTTGTCACAGACTTTGGTCACCAGCTTGATCTGAAAAGACTAAATTCATGTCCTCAGTCACCAGTGACTTAACCTCACTGCAGTCTCTGTCCCCACCCCTAAGAGGCAGGGACTAGTCTGGGTATCTTTATAACGTGCCACCGTCTTAAACAACTTATCCAATTCCTAACCATCTGGACTGAGTTTCTGTGAACATATGAATACTCAAAAAAAGAAAGACTGAGTAAGTGCAGGTGGGCTATTAACAACTACAAAAACCGCAACAGTCTGGATACTCATTTAACACCATTAAAAAAATTAATGCATTTCTTGGTAAATAAGTGGTTAGAGTTTTATTAAATATGCCTAAGTTTTTTTCTTTAGAAAACCCAGAAAGTAGATCATTTCCCGTTCAGAACAACCTGGTCTGTAACCAAAGATACTTTCAAACAAGAGGCCGGTCAATGTCAAAACACTGGATTACAGTTATGAGACTATCAAATAACTAAAAAATGAGATTATCATTTTTCAGTTTCCTTTATTATCGCCAGTGCTCAAACTACAGACACAAAGGAAAAAAAAAGACTACTTGGGATGAACATTGTATGGAATTTTTTATTTAGCCTGCTGTCTTTTTGAAATACCGATTTTCATCTATTCTGAGTCTTTTGATATAGATCAGTTAAACTGGAATGAACAGTCTTTTCATCTAGTTTGCCTCATCCTAATAACAAGAATGAAGTGTGCTTTTTTCCCTTTCAGTGGTTTATAAATAGTCCTTATAAAACTGCCCATTACCTTTTTATACATACTAAGCTCATTACTGAAAAATTGCAACTCCTCACACCTCCAGGCCTTTCTACATCTAAATGAAACTCTTTCCACTTAAATGTATATGGCAGGAAAAAATCAGCAAATACGAATGTTCGAACCCCAAGGGGGCAGCCTGCACACAGATGAAAATATGACCATGCACATACACAGTTTCTGTTGCATGACACCAGGCCTCGAGGAGAAAACCAACCCTTGCATAAAAGATCTCACAGAGATAAGTAAAAGAACCCAGTGCTCTGGTATATCCAAATTCAGATGTAAACTCAAAAAAGTCCATAGAAACCCTGACATTGTTTCAAAGCACAGCATAAGATTAATAGTGCATAAACCACAGCACACTTTTGTTAAATTCACATTTACTTAATAATACATATCACCAACTTTGCAGTCAGATCTGAGGCAGCAGGCAAAACAAGTTATTTTTAGGAGTCTGGCCAAGGACCATTTGCTCATTCATGAGAGTGTGCTTTAAGAAGTCCAAAGCCAAGATATCAAGATACACCATTATCCAGGCATGGCTGCAGGGCCAAACCGCCTCACAAGGGGAGTGCCATCCGCCACCCAGGGAACCAAAGGAGAGACAATGTGTGGTTAACACAGGCCCACTGCTATTATGAGAAAAATAGCCAGGAGCATAACCGCTGATGGTGATCAGGGCATTTGATATTCAAAGTATGGCTTACTGGTTGGTTTGGCTAAAGATCTGGCCAAGAATCTAACAGGCAAAATTTATCTGAAGACCAATTTGCTTCTTAGGAAAGAGAGTCAGGTAAGGGACCAACTATGGCAGCAATTTCAGCTCACACGGAAATGCACCTTGCTTGGTTCCCACCGCTTTGCTGGCAGTTTCCTAACTGCTACCAAAGCTGCAGAACCAAAGCTTCCAGTTTCATCAAGATGAATTGCAGCAAATCAGAAGTGATTGGGACATACAGAATGCCTTATTGATGTGATATACCTAACATGGGCCGGGAAGGAAGAGCAATAAGAAATACCTTGGGGCCAGGCATGGTGGCTCACACCTGTCGTCCCAGCGCTTTGGGAGGCTGAGGTGGGCGGATTGCCTGAGGTCAGGAGTTTGAGACCAGTTTGGCCAACATGGTGAAACCCCGTCTCTACTAAAAATACAAAAAAAATTACCAGGCGTGGTGGCGCATGCCTGTAGTCCCAGCTACTCAGGAGGCTGAGGCAGGAGAATTGCTTGAAACAGGGAGGTGGAGGTTGCAGTGAGCCGAGATCATGCCACTGCACACCAGCCTGGGGGATGGAGCGAGACTCCGTCTCAATTAAAAAAAGAAAAGAAAAGAAATGCCTTGGGAAATGAAGGATATAGAATACCTGATTCATTTGTTTAGTTGTCAAGGCTTTGTTGAGCTTTTTTTCACATGCCATGTACTGTGGCAGGCATGAGGGATATCAAGACACACAGAACACCACCCTGCCTTCTAGCGCTTCCATGCATCCTGGCATCTATGAATAATAATATTGCAAACAAATACACCACTCTCACTACAGTTCCTTGAGTTTACCCTAAGAGAAAGGGGTTGGAACCTATTCATTTTTGCATAAATGATTCTCTTTCTGACGAGTGTGACAGTGTTGCCCACTCACTTTCCCTTAGGTGGAGCCTTGTGACTAATTCTGTCTGATGGACTGTGGACCTGTGAATCCTACAGGTCGGAATCGAACAGGCAGCGCCCAACGCTCCAGCTGTCTCATCTCTTGCCAAGGCAGTCAAGGAAACCTCCTGCCGAGACGGCAGAGCTGCACGTGTTACAGCATGAAGGGCGGATGCCGGGGAGGGTCACCCAGCCTGCAGCGGACCTCAGGAGTGAGAAAAGCCATTAAGTCACTGAGACGTGGAGGTTGTTTTTTGTTTTTGCTTTTGTTTTGTACTGCAGTATAGTACCTGCTTAATACCATTCATAAATGTCTGTTTTGCCTAGGACTTTTAGAGAAGACTAGAAATCACAGACTCTGTAGAGATGAAGAGGCTTTATGGATTAATAGACTTACCCAGTGCAGATCAATCTCCCAGTGGAAAGAGATCAACTTCTCCCACTGTGCTTTTTCCTCTCAGTGTAGCTGTCACAGAGACTGTTCCCAAGGCTCTAAGGTGTTAGAGCCGCTGCCTCCCTCAAGCCCTCTGGATGCCACGATGCCTTCAGGTAGTCCAGCCTCAGCACGTCCCTATGTCTTTTCTTCCCAGTTTACTGGAGGCAAGATTGGGATTTTCCAAGTGAAACTTCGTTAGTAAGAAATGGAGATAAAATAAGTACAAATGTATAGAAACAGATGGATTTGCTGAGTATAGATTTCTAATCAAAGTGTATTTGATCTTCCTTTTCCAGAACATTGGGAAGATATGTTTTGATCCTTGCATCCTGAACGTGTTCAGTCCAAACATACCTAAAACAGAAAGGGGAGTCTGAGGTACCTCATGACTTGGCCAGATACTGGCTTTGCTTATCCACCCAAGATTACAACATAGGAGACACCATCTTTTCTATGGAACAATCATATTCCCTCCTAACAACACAACTCTTCAATAGCAATAGTCTCATTAACAATTAATTTGTGATGCTAGAGCACTTTGTGTGTTCCAAGTAACAGCTATAGCATTGTGAACAATAATAGTTATTGCTGTATTTTAAGTCTATTCATGCACAGAAGAGAGTAAGGAAGTTCTTTATAATGTAAATGATTCCTGAGTTCTAGAAATTCAGTTTACCCTTACAAATATGACTCAATTTCAAATTATTCTGTTAAAATATATAATTGTTGGGGCAATAAACTTTTGTTTAGTTTTCAATTCTTTAAAAATAAAGAATCTATATTGAATCTTATTTTGAGGTCAAAGAAAGTGACCACAGATGGAAAGTTAATGCTTTCAAGGTACAGTTTAACTCTCTGGAAGGAGTAAATCATATTTATTTCTGGTTCAAAAAAAAATTAAATAAACTTTCTTCTTATATGTACCTTTTTTTTTTTTTTTCTTTGAGAGAGAGTCTCACTCCATTGCCCAGGCTGGAGTGCAGTGGCACGATCTGGGCTCACTGCAACCTCCACCTCCTGGGTTCCAGTAATTCTTGTGCCTCAACCTCCTGAGTAGCTGGGATTGCAGGAGTACACCACCATGCCTGGCTAATTTTTGTATTTTTAGTAGAGATGGGGTTTTGCCATGTTGGCCAGGCTGGTCGCGAACTCCTGGGTTCAAGTAGTCTGCCTGCCTCAGTCTCCCAAAGTGCTAGGATTACAGGTGTGAGCCACTGTGCCTGGCCATGTGTACCCTTTTTTTAACCTTCTGTAAACTCAGTGTTTCATAGCGGAGTATGATATAGTGTTTAACAGCACAGACTCTGAAGGTGGATTCGTGGCTTTAATTCCTCCTCTACCACTTAACTACCTATGTGACCTTGAGCAAGTTCCTCAACCCTCCTGGGCATTATCTAACCCGTAAAATGGAGATTATAACTGTCCCTGTCTTAAAGAAGTAACTGACATAGTGCATGCAATTAAAGTGTTAGTTAAATAGAAATGAAGTGCCAAGTGCAGTGACGCACGCCTGTAGTCCCTGCTGCTCTGAATCTCTTGAACCCAGGAGTTCAAGCCTGCGGTGTGCTATAATTGTGCCTATCAGTAGCCACTGCTCTCCAGCCTGGGCAATATAGTGAGACCCCATCTCTTAAAAAAATTTTTAAAATGCACGAACTACCTGGGAAGTCAAACACCAAGAATACAAATTCTTGATTCTCCATAATACTCCAAGGTAGAAGGCAGAAAAGAAAACATTCCTAGGCTGACCTCCATAAGAGCGATGGGTACAGGCTGTTTAGGGAACCCAAATTCAGAAGACTCTCAGAGGCTTTGGCTAACTACATGACAGCAAATGACTCTCTCACATATACCAAAGTCAGACTAAAGATTTTCTAGGGCCAGCAGAATCCACTGGAGCACTGCTAGTGGGACTAAAGCTCACATGGGCATGCCCAGCTCAGCTGAGCACCAACCGAGCCCTGGCATTGGTGGTGTACCCACATTTGCACCTCTGTATTAGGGAATCCAAGAGCTCTGACAGTCAAAGAGATTTGTCTGTTTGTTTGTTTGTTTTCGTAAGTGAAGAACAAACTCATTTGGCATCAAAACTTGTCCTGAACTGAGATGAGGCTATTTGGAGTCTTTATTTATTTCACCGAGTGAATCTTCATATGTTTCGCTCCAGAAACATTGATGAGTTTGCTTATCAGTGCTGCCCCAAGCCTTCCTCGGATGTCATGTTATATGATGTTTGCACCATGTTCCAAAATCTGCAAAGTCCTGAATTCCGAATCCCATCTGGCCCCAAGCATTTCAGATGAGGGATTATGGACCTGTACCTTCTTACATGTGATGATTTCCCCTTGGAAATGGGGAGGTCATTGACAGCTCCAGGCTGTCTCCAGTGTTGGAATGTGAGCTTCATGGAATCTTCCTCTCTTGCCACCTCAAAGCCAGAAGGTGGAAAAAAGGATGGAGCCACCAATGAACGAGAGAGAGAGACAGACTTTGACAAAATATTATAATAGTTCCAGTAAGTCTTTTCTCCTGAAACTACTGCTGTGTGAGTGTGAGGCTTGCTGTAAAAATGTGTAACAGGTGTCTGGATAGGAACTGAGATACAGAAGGCATGGGTGATCAAACCCTAGAGTCTTAGCAACAGCAATATTCCCTCCCTCAATAATCCATGGGTTGAGAGTTAGCCCTAAAGAGTAAGAGGGTGTCTGGGGATGAGTGCGGAAACATCAGCTCTACACAGGAGGTGTATAGACCACAAACTGCTCTAACAGAAAGGCTCTGCTGCCTCCCACACCACATTTATGTTTGCATTTGGTCAGTAATTCCTTCCCCAATCTCATCCACCTTGCTTATTCAGAGCGTCCCAGAAGGCAGCCAATAATAGTTAAAGTGATGGGCAGGCAATTCCTCCCACTCATCATGGGGGCTTGGATCCTGTCGTCGCTGATCTTTCTTATGGATTAGACCAGGTGCCTTCTAAACTTCTCACCCATAAACTTAACAACTCCTACAAAACGATGCCGCCCAGATGCCTGCAGGAGCGCTGCTACCTCCTGAAACTTAGATGATTGTGGCTCAGAGCTCCAAATCCTCATCCTGCAGAAGTTAAAACCCCTCCCCAATGAACCTATGAATTCCTGGTATAGAAAATCTGTCTTTCTCATGATCACCTCTTCCTACAAGTGTTCTCACTGGACCGTACCAGAGACCCATAGGTGAAACTTAACTTCTGCTCCCAGAAAATGCACTCACAAACAGCAAATTAAGTATGGAATAGACTTATGTAAAGATCTGGAGGGAGGCAAAGAAGATGTTTACTTTGCTATGACTCAAAACAAGTTCAAACTGAATATTAGACATCACAGTGCTTTAAAAATAAAATCACCCACTCTGTTATAGGGCATATTGGATTTTTGCTTTTGTTAATAGCTGTAACCCAGCACCATCCAACAGAAAAACAATCTACATGTGCAATTTAATATTTCCTGGTAGTGGTATTAAAAATTAATTTATTGATTTTAACCTATCTTATTTTATCCAATATTGGGAACTTGAACTTCAACATGTAATCAACATTTAAAAGTATTAATGATTTTCTTTAACATTCTTTTTTTCATAATGTCTTTCAACACAATGTATATTTCACACTTATTGAGCTCATTGCAAGAGCTCAGTAGCCAAATGTGGCTCATGGCTGCCTCAGTGGCCAACCCGGTCTTCTCTCCACCCCAGCCTCCCTTCCTGAACCCTTCCTCACCACGCTCACAAATAGTCCCAGGAAAGTCCAAATTCCTCTTGATTTTACAAGCCCCTCCCTGGTATCCGCTCCTATATCCCGGACCTATTTCTGCTTAGTCAATTTCTGTTTTTAAAGAGCCATTTTCCTTAGACATGAGTTGGACTTTGAATAGCAATTTCTTTTCTTCTTTTACCATGGAAACCATTATCATCATCTCAATCCCACAGAGAGGGAAACTTGAGCCCCAAAGTTAAAGACATCATAGATAACACAGTAAGACCATGGCAAGTGCCAGGTAAGCCACAGCTCCTCTGGTGTTGCCTTTCCGCTCCAAAAGGTTGAAAGCACAGGGCCCAGAGCTGTGGACTGGCTGAGTTGTTCCCCTGATTTCCTCTCTGGGTCCATCATGAGCCTGTGTGGGGCTCCCAATGTCCTGGGCTCAGTTGGACCTTTGCTTTTTCCTCTCCCTACACTGTCTCTGACAATGAAATCTTCACCTCAACCTTCAGTCCCATATCTCCAGCTGCCTACTACACACTTCTCGACATTTGCATGTAAATCAGAATTCCTCCCGCCTCTCTCTCTGCCCCCACCACCCTCCTGCTGTCCTATGTACACACTCCAGCTGTTTGTAAGACATAGTCTCTGTCAACCCAGAACCCGGGTCACCTTGGCCCTGCACCTCTCTCGTGCTCCACAAGTTACCAACTACAATTTTATAAGTGTGATTTTGAGACTTTTAAGTGGTAAATTGAATGTTATGAGATAATTTTACTAACTTTTAAACACTATTAGAATACTTGATAGAATTTGAGAGTCACAATATTCATAACTCCCAATTTAACTGGATTTATAAAACTTTAAAATCGTTGGAAGGTTTTCTTTGTTAGGGTTATTAACTTAAGCCAGAGCAGATATTTGAGTTGCTTAGAAAGCTAATTAAGTGTATTAAGTTTATCACTGCAGTTTAAAATGCTTAAAAGAAACTAATAATTAACATAAATGGCACTAATAGTTTAAGGGGAATTTAGTCCTTTCAACTCAAGCCAGTCAAAAACTACTCAACGGGCTGGGCAAGGTGGCTCATGCCCGCAATCCCAGTGCTTTGGAAGAGGCTCATGGGGGAGGATCCCTTGAGGCCAGGAGTTTGAGATTACAGTGAGCTAGGATTGCGCCACTGCACTCCAGCCTGGGTAACAGAGGCAGGAGAATTTGCCTGAGGCCAGGAGTTGGAGACCAGCCTGGCTAACATAGTGAAATTCTGTCTCCACAGAAAAAGAAAAAAAGGCTTTAGGAAACTAGGCTTTTATATTTGTCATTCTAATAAATTAAATATTACACGAAAATGCCCAGGTCTGTTGTGCCCCTTGAAGATGTGGGGAGGTGGCTTCTCAACTCTTTAAGCGACCATGAGGTCCACTGTTGGGCGTCTTTGATACTGAGTTGGTCAAAGAAGACCAGAGTCAGGTCATTTTCCAGTGGGAATGATGGCTTAGTGGTGCCACAACAGGCAAGG